GGCGGCGGGGGGCCGGCGGCCCTGACCCCTCGCCCTGTCCTCAGAGCGCAGGTGTGCTATATTCTACGGGGCACCAAACAAGGGCAAGCTGCTGTCCACCTTGTGCTCCGGTGACGTCTGCCAGTGTGCGGAGGGTGAGGCACCGGGCGGGTGGGTGCAGGCCGGGCGGGCGGGGGGCGGGCACCTGTCCTCACGCCGCCTGCTGCGCCCAGGGAAGTGTCCGCGACAGCGCCGCGCCCTGGAGCGGGGGCTGCAGGACGAGGATGGCTACAGGATGAAGTTCGCCTGCTACCACCCGCGCGTGGAGTACGGTGAGTCTCTCGTGCCTCCCCACAGCCCGGTGGCCTCTCCGCCCCGGCGCGGCGACAAACGTGCCCGCCCCCGCCCCCCAGGCTTCCAGGTCCGGGTCCTCCGAGAAGAGGACAGAGCTGCCTTCCGTCTCTTTGAGACCAGCATCACCCAAGTGCTGCACTTCAGTAGGCCTCCCGGGCGCGGGGGGCGGCGGGGCCTGGGTGGGGCCTCCTCCGGGACAGGGGCAGCAGGGCTGCCGCCCGCTCCCTCTGACCCGCACCCTCTGTCCCCGCAGCCAAGGACACCAAGGCCGCTGCTGGGCAGACCCGCAACTTCCTGGTTCGAGGCTCCTGCCGGCTCCGCCTGGAGCCCAGCAGGGAGTACTTGATCATGGGCATGGATGGGGCCACCTACGACCTCAAGGGAGAGTGAGTCACTGGTCCTCCCGGGGGGCCAGATCCCGGCTGCCCAGCCCAGTGCCCGGGCTGGTGCCCCCTGCTCCCCGCTCCCTGCTCCCGTCCTCCTGACCTTGCTGAGCGCCCACTGTCCCCTGCAGCCCCCAGTACCTGCTGGACTCCAAGAGCTGGATCGAGGAGATGCCCTCGGAGCGGCTGTGCCGGACCACGCGCCAGCGGGCAGCCTGCGCCCAGCTCAGCGACTTCCTCCAGGAGTACAGCACCCACGGCTGCCAGGTGTGAGGCGCTGCCGCCCCACCGGAGGAGCCTGAGCGGGGCGAGGGGGTGCTCAGCCGGGCTGGGAGTCTAATAAAAGCCTTTGCCAAAGTGTCCGTGTGCGTCTCCGGGACCGTGTGGACTCTGCTGCCCGGCCCGGCCCGGGGAGCCCAGCCGGATTGGCGTAACCTTGGACGCAGAGCCTCGGGGGCCCCTGGGCTGTCCAGCTTCGCCCTGACGCTTCCCGAGGGCTCAGTAGCACTTAGCCCATCGCAGGACCCCCGCGGCCTGCGCCCGGGGGCTGAGCCCCACCCGCGGCCTCCCTTCGGCCCTGGCAGCTCTCTGCCCGTGAGCCGCGCCCTGCCGGCCCTGTGCCCGCGGCCTGCGGTGCTGAGCCTCGGCCCATGGACGCCGACTGGCACTAGGTCCCGTTCTCAGTGGGGACGGGTGACCCCTGGAGTTGAGCAAGCCCGGGTCTCGCGCCTTCACCGCGACACTTACTCTAAGCAGGCTGAAGGCTGCCGGCTTGCTAATCTCCCTCCGGAGGCGACATCTGCTTGGGTCGGCCCTCCCGCCCGCCCGCCTAGCTCCCCACCCGCGGGCACCTGTGGCGCGTTGAGGGGTGACCTAGAAACCCTTCCAAGACGATCTTCCGAGGTCAGTTTGGATGAGCCCTGAGGCTGCTGAGCAGCCTGCTGTGAATGATTCAGCAGAGACTCCCGGAGCTCCCGCCCCATGTCCTGTGCCAGCTGCCAGCCACACAGCTGCGCGCCCAAGGCCTCCTCACGGGGAGAGAGACGAGGCAGGTCCAGGGGGAAGTGTGGGTACAGGGTGCTGTGAGGCCCGTGAGGCCCAGAACCTGGTGAGGGAGGGCGCCCGAGGAGGCAGGAAGGCTTCCTGGAGGAGGTGACGTCTAAGTTGTGTTCGGAAGGCTGAGAAGGCGTAAAGAGAGGGTGCAGAGGGAATTGGAGGCAGAGGAGACTGCTCATACTGGGGCGGCATGGAGCACATTGGGGGCACTGTGTGTAATTTGTCATGCGTAGAATTTGGCTTTGCGGGTGGGGTGGAGAAAGTGGGGGTGGCAGGTAAGCACAGTGGCTTCATGAAGGGGTGGCCACAAGCACACGCACTCGGGTGGCTGGACAGCTGGTGGTCAGCTTGTAACACCCCGCCGAACTGAACCAGCGTGGTGCTGGGTGTGGGAGGCCCAGCTGAGGACTGCTGCCGGCAGCATAAGAGGCAGACCCGGAGAAGTTTACAAGCTGTTGAGGAGCTGTTAGGGAGCTGTTGGCTTTCCTGGGGCTGCTGTTGGTTCCCTTGGAGGAGCTTGTCGTGCTGGCTTTCCCGATGAACTTGGCTGCTGTCACCGTGGAAGGAGCTCTGTCCATACTGTCACTGAGAATGGCTTCACTTTGGGGGCGCTCTGGTCCTCACTCTGAGCATCGCTTCCTGGCTCCGGAGGGGAAGACGGTGCACTGCTCAGTCTCCTGGAGAAGCTTGTC